ACTGTTCTTTGATTACAGGTTCACCTGGACCAAAGGGGAGCCCAGGCTTTCCAGGAATGCCAGGCCCACCTGGGCAGCCTGGTCCACGGGGCTCAATGGGACCCATGGGACCCTCTCCTGATCTGTCCCACATTAAGCAAGGCCGGAGGGGCCCTGTGGTCAGTATTTTATCAGAGATCCACTTAAGATGAGTGGCAATGTGCATGATCCCAGGATTTTTCCTTCTATTAAACCAGACCCCATTTCTCTTGTAGGGTCCACCAGGTGCACCAGGAAGACATGGTTCCAAGGTAGGTCTGTCTACCTCATGGTCTTTACGGATCTTAGAGCTCTTCATTTCCACCTACTGTGCAGGCACCGAGTAAAGATTGGAAGCTGTTTCCTGTCCACAATTTGCATGTGGCAAAACTGAGGCTGGGAAGAAAATCTAAAAAGCATTTTCTTAAAATATAAAACTAACTAGGGGAAATGAGATGGGCTTTCTACCTCTCTTAGACTCGATAGTGGTGGGTTTGGTTTGGATTTTGTTGTTACTGGATTTGTTTTGATTTGCTTTGTGGTTTTTGAGTTAGACTGGATTTAAATTAATAAAGTATATTCTTACTCAAAAACAAATATATTTATATACACATATAATTTTTTTTTAATCCCAGTTTAATTTACTCCAGTATTTTTTTAAATAAATTTGTGTGTTACAATTGTTCCTGTTCTTGTTGTGTGCCATTGAGTCAGTTCCCACTCATAGCAACCCTGTATAAGGTTTCCGAGGAGCGGCTGGTGGATTTGAACCATCAACCTTGCGTTTAACAGTCCAGTGCTGATCCTACCATGGGACACCAGGACTCCTATGTTATGATGCTGCTGCCGTGTGCCATCACGTCGGTTCCGACTCATAGAGACCGTGTACAGGGTTTCCGAGGGTGTAAATCTTTATGGGAGTAGAAAGCCTCATCTTTCTCCCGCGGAGCGGCTGGTAGTTTCAAACCGCTGACCTTAGGGTTCGCAGCCCGATTCGTAACCACTACGCTACCAGAGGGTGGGGCCTAAATCCAACATGGCGGGTCCTTATGAGAATAGAATAGACACAGACCCCGAGGTAGAGATGGGATGATGCATCTACACCACAAAGAAAAGCTACGATTGGGGGCCGCAGCAGAAGCTAAGAGAAAAGCATGGAACAGAGTCTTCCTTGGAGCCTTCAGTGAGACCCAGTGGACACCTTAATTTTGGTGTCCATCCAGATCTATAAATTTCCATTGCTTGAAGCCACCCAGGATGTTGTAACTTGTTTTCACAGTCATAGAAGACTTATACACTGGTAAGCAAGCATCCTCTACCTAGTGGACAATTGAGGGAAGTGCAAATCATAATTCGATCTTCATTGAGGACCTCTGGAGTCCTGCTAGTAGGCTGGGAGGTGAGGCAGTACAAAATAGTAGGGAAGAACAGTATGGAATGCTGCCTTAACTCAACATACAGTCTTATTGGGAAAGCAAAAACCCCAATAATGTGTGAGTCAATAAAGGATCACCACACAAAGGGTTAAAAAACAGAGTCCAGAAGACATCATCTAGTGAGCAGATTTGAAACCTGATAGCAGTATCTTCTCATTCTGGCTTTACCTTTAGCATCAGGCATGGAAATGGCTTCTCAGTAGCTTGTGGCTTCCTCTGCTATCTTGATCTATTAGCTCTACAAAGTGGGTCTTCTGAGGATCATTAGGAAGACTAACCCCCATAGAGAGGCTATGTGGTATCATTTGCTCAGCAGACAGGTTGAATAAGTATGGTGAAAGAATACAACCCAAGATGTGGTCATCTGGTCCAGACCCCTCTCATAGAACCTGGAAGGGTGAAGGGACTTACCCAAAGTCACACAGCAACGTAGAAACAGAACCAAGAACAAGTCTCAGCCAGAGCATCTTCCTGGATTTCAATAGACTTGGAATTTCAAGGAGGTGGGAAAAACCATTAGAGCAGTGCCCATTCCAGATTGAAATGGGACTCTTAGCTAAAGCAGAAGTAAGATCTTTAGGCCCAGAAGCCTCAGCATATCCTCCCAGAGCGTAAGAGGGGGTCTGTCAGCCTCACAAGTCTGTGCTCTTCACCGAAGCTACAGGGATACCAAGAGTCCCTCTTGTGATTTCTGTGGTTTGACCTTCAAGAAAAATCAAAAGTGTAGACCAGTGGGGTACAAAGATACAGCACTGGGTCAGCCACCTTGCAAAGGAACTGGGATACTTTGTTCCCGTACATGTATCGGGTAAAAGTTATTGGTCAAAGTGCAAACCACATATCATCATGAGATTCGCTTTTCATTAATACTGGGTTTCTTCTGCTGGCAAGAATATCTGTTTCTGTGACTAAACGAAACCATCAGCCTATAAACTGTATCAAGAGAGCCCCAAACCCAGCAGGAGAACAGGATCATTGCCAGGGGTCACCACCAGCATCATGTTTCATACTGGGATTGTTAAATACAATCATTGCTGAGTCTTTGTGTTCAGTAACAGACACGAGTACAGGAAACCCAAGATCTACTGTTAAGAGAACATCATCTTGGGCAGCAGAGCTTTCCCAGGCCTACCTGTAGGCATTCACAAGTCTGGAGTCTTGGCTATAGTTCAGGAGATGGATTTATAGTCCCCCATACACTCTCCTACAGCCTGTGCTTGTGAGAGTCAAGATCTCCCGATCATCTTTTGCTACATTTCCCTGCTATGTTAATATCAAGTCAAGGGGTCCTAATCCTTGATAGGGAATTCCTTCTGTATTAAAAACACGTGTAGGCCGTGAAATCTCTGAAATGATTTTGTGTAGCATGTTTGACAACGCATGCCTTACAGCTGCCTGAGAACTTCCAAGGAATCTGGAGTCCTCAGGGAAAGAAATCCCTGAAGAAGTAAATGAGAGGTGATAAATGCAGATTTCACATGAAGGGGAAAAGTGAAGAAAGAGTCATCATTGTTCAAGTCAGCATTCATCTATTTGTTTCCTCTTCCCAAAAACTATCATTCCAAATGCATGTCAACCTCAGGAAGAACCATGCATGATATTTAGTACCCCGTGGTCACCTCTGATCACGCACAGATAGAGGCATCTCTCTAAAGCTCATGGGCTTAGAACCTTCCAGAAACCTAAGGTAAGTTTGTGACCTTCCATGCACCCCTCCCAGGCTGTATCCCTCTGCCCAGAGGAGACCCAGACAGGGCTGCATCCAGAGCAAGGGGACAAATGCAACTTGTTCCAAGAATCTGAGATGCCTGCTTTCTTCAGGATTTCAGGAACCCGAGCAGGTCTGCTGAGCCTCAGCAATGTGCCCTTCTCCCATTGAATTTGTGCTCCTAGCGTGGCTCTGGGGGTTAATGCGCTGGACTGAAAAACCAGGTTTGAACCACAAGGTCTGCGGTTCAAACTGACCAGCCATTCATTCTTCAGAAACCCTATACAGGGTCGCTATGGGTCAGAACCCACTTGATGGCACTTAACAACAACCATTTACCTAGCGCTTAGTATGTTCCAGGTCCTGTGTTGAGCACCCAAAGTAACCATCTCATTGCTTCTTCCAGCCATATTGTTGCTGTTGTTAACTGCCTTTGAGTCTACCCAGTCCTGCCCTAGCCCATGATGGGTTGCATCTTGACCCTTTGGGATCTGTACCATTTTCATTGACTCATCCTTGGAAGTAAATTGCTAGTCCATCTTAGCCTGGGAGCTTCAATGAAACCCATTCAGCATCATAGTAACAAGTAAGTCTCCACTTGCTGCACATGAGGTGCATTGGTTGTGGATCAAGCCAGGTCTCCCCCATTCCAGTCCAATAAAGATGGTATTGCTACGCCCTTTCTCAGTAAGTAAATGGAGGTTTGTGGCATTCAGCTCTTACTAACGGTCTCACAGATTCCTCCCGTCCCCCTGACCTGAAGCATCTAGGAATGTGAAGACAGTTCATTCACTGGTGCAGGTCCATTGGTTTATCCTGGAATGAGGGATCCAAGAGAGCACGGAGAAAGTTGGAAATGGTCACTGCTGTCAAGTTCTGTTCACTCAAAGCTAGTCACTAAGTCCAGTCCACACACAAAGGGTCAGAAAGTAACCTCCACCTTTTGGAAGGGAGAAGTGTCAAGGAATTTTTTGGCATATTTTGGAACACCACAGTCATGGTTTCCTGGTTGTACTTAGTGTGCACGGAGGGCAAGGACCAAAAAGCAGCCTGCAGGGCCTAGCGTGTAATAGACACCCGGTGTATGTGAGCCATAACATAGGTATTGAATAAATTAAGACAGTGAAACGGGTTTTTGTTGTTTGTCATTGGCTGCCATTGATCTGCCCAGTCATGTGTCACCCCCAGGATCAGTTGTGGATCCGACCATTGTGATCCATCCACGCTCACTGACTATTTCAGATCTTGTAGAAATACCTCACCAGACTTTCTTCCTAGTCTGTTCAGAAGCTCTGCTGAAACCTGTTTAGTCCCATAACAGCACCCTAACCTCCACTGGTGTCTGCACATGTAGTACACTGGCCGGGAATTGAACCTGGGTCTTCTACATGGAAGGTGAGAATTCTACCACTAAGCCACCAGTGTCTTGACATAAAACAAGTTGTTGTTGTTAGGTACCATTGAGTTGGTTCCAACTCATAGTGACCCTGTGTAGGGTTTCTGAGGAGTAGCTGGTGGGTTTGAACTGCCGACCTTGTGGTTCACAGTCTAGTGTTGATCCTACAGCACCACACCAGAAGCAGGTGGGTTCTATTAATTATGGCAGTGCTGAGTCTAACGGTGATGACCAGGCAGTCCAGAGCCTAGTGCAGGCTCTCCCACTGACTGGCTAAGTGACCTCCTGCAGTTTGCATCCACTAGAAGGCCCTGTGGGATTGCAAAGAGGAGCTCTAACCGACTCTGGTCACAGGGAGTTGTTGTGAGGGGCTTCACCACCTCGATAAGCCACTTACCGGCAGCTCAGCTCCCCCCGATGGGGTGTCCTCTTCTCTTCACAGATAGCCCTGCTTCCCAACAATGCTGCAGACCTGGGCAAATATATGACTGGCGACAAGGTGCTGGCCTCAAACACCTACCTTCCTGGACCACCTGGCCTGCCTGGGGGCCAGGGCCCTCCCGGTGAGTGTGGAGAAGGACCCAGATGGTGACCAGCACAGAGCTCACCTTAGTGTGGGCTGGGCTGTGTTCGGGAGCTTCCATCAATGAGAAGGGAAGTGGGACCTGTCAGGTTAGCCACCCCTGTGACAAAAAGGTCTTGGGGAATCAGGCCCTGGAGCCTATGAGACAATTAACCAGTAGTCACTAAGAGGAAAAATACCATTGTGGTGGCATTGGGTAAGATTTCCAAAGAGTTTAAATTACAGCAAAAAGGAAAACTATTTTTAACTTTATCCTGGAAAAATATAAACATATACAAAAATAGAGCACGTGCTATCCACCCATTCCTCACTTATCAACATGGTTACGTTCCAAAGACCAGGTCGTTATGTAAAACTCAGCATTATATGTGGAAACAGGATTAAGTCACTGCATAACTGTCAAACCCTGGAGAACTAATGGTCCAGCCAACAGCCAGACACATAATGGTAACCATCCCAACCGACACTACTCTCCCCTCGCACTTTGTTATTTGTTACTGCTAGGCAAACATCGTTAATGCACAAAATAGTCAGACAGTGAATTTTTTACTATTACTGATAGTAATATTTTACTATCAGGCGAAACGTCTGATAGCCAGTGAGTGGGTGGGTGAGGAGTATGACTAATGACTCTTAAGGGTCTTTTACCTTCCGTGCTCACAGCTCCTGGCTAATCTTGCCTATTTCCTACTCATATTATTTGTTAACATGCAATTGTTGTTGTCGCTAAGTATCAAGTTGGTTTTGACTCATTACAACCCTGTACAGCAAAGGGCTTCAAGGGAGTAGCTAGAGGGTTTGAACTGCTGATCCTGCGGTTCACAGTCCAGTGCTGTTCCTTCACTACCATGCCAGGAGTCCAACATGCATTTACATCTGAGCAGTGAGGGGTTAATGAGTGACCCCCTTTGGAAAGTCAGATTGGAAAGACAAGACACATGGAGCAAAAGCAAGTAAGCTCAAACAGCATGTAGGTGCCTGCAGATTCATGCACAAATCCTCCTGACATGGGCACTTAAAGAAGAGCAAGATCATGGTAGCCCGTGGGGATCCAGGGACTCAGGGTTTGAGACGGACACAGAGGACTGGTAGGATTGCTCCAAGGGGCTATGCCCAGGTTTTATAGTTGTATGGTCAAAAAGAATAAAGGCTCAGAGTTTTTCCCCCATTCCAGTCCAATGTTTTTTCTTCTGTACCTAGGTCTTAATCTCCTATTATTGTTAGGTGAGGTCAAGTCAGTTCTGACCAATAGCTACAGAATGAAACCCTGCCCAGTCCTGTACCAGCCTCACAATTGCTTCTGCCACTGTGCTAATCCATCTCATTGGGGGCCTCCCTCTCCTTTGCTGACCCTCCACTTTGCTAAGCATGATGTCCTTCTCCAGGATCTAGTCCCTCCTCATAATATGTCCAAAGTATGAGACACAAAGTCTGACCATCTTGGCTTCTAAGGAGCATTCAGGCTGTACTTCTTCCAACACAGGTGTATTTGTTCTTCTGGTAGTCCATGGTACTTTCAATATTCTTCTCCAACAACATAACTCAAATGCATCAACTCTTCTACAGTGGACAGGTTTCAGCTGAGCTTCCAGACTTAGACTCGGAAGAAGGAGTCTTCATCTCTTACCTTAATCTCCTAGTGTCCTTCAAACATGGGTGACCTGGATCTTGTACAGAGAATAAGAACTGGTCCAGGACTTTGCTTAATCCGCTTGTTCATTCCTCCAATCTGAGAGTCTCTGGGTTGTGTTGGGGTTTCTCCTGCAGATGCTTCATACCAACAGCCTCTTGCCACTCCTAAGTGAGCTAGGACTTTGCTTACATACACAGGACCCTAGCAAGTTCTCCACCCTCCTTTAAGACAATGTTCTTTCTTCACTTCCGTGGATAGGGATCATCTCCAGGTCAGTCTGCACACCACTAAAACAAGGACAAACTGTAGAATCAGGGAGCCACATATGAACTACTCCCTGACTTCCCCCTCGGGTCCTGTTGTTTGCTTTCTAACATGGTTTGAGCTGTCCAGGGTCCTTGATGGACGCTGTTTTATTTTTACCTTTAGTGAAAATTGGCAAAGTGATTGTTTTCGCCTCCAGTCCTGTTCACACTCCTTCCTTTTGGTGATGCCGTTTGTGATGCCTCAATTGAGATGTGTTCCAGCAGCAAGAGAGCAAATCAAGTTTCTCTTACTCTTCCCTGAAAGTCCAGTCCCACGACCTGTGACAAATCACACACTGGAACACCAATACAAGACACAACACCAGGCGGGGACCCTCGGGCTTCAAGAGCAAGGGGGTGGCCACTGCTCTCTTGCCTTCAATGCATTTGTGCTGTTGTTTACACATCAAAGTCCCACATGTTAGAGACCCTGGACATACTGAAGTTCACTGATTGTGTAAATACAAGTGACATGCTGTCTCTGACCTGCTTCTGTGCTGCCGGGTGTATGCAGTGAGAGGAGGGATCTGGTCCTTTGCCCAGATAAACACTTTCAGGATGTACTAGACGCACCACTGAGAGCAATAGTGAGACAGCTTTGGATAAAACATAGACTGCCCTAAACTTTGGCTTAATTATTCTTAATTATATTGTTTTGTTTTGTGGACTCTGAAAGTTATTTCATCTTGTCACTGTGATGTGTCAGTAACAGGGGCCAGATATGGCTTTGTAAAAAATATAATTACTGTATGCTTTTGAAAGATACATTTCTGGACTGGGTGCATAGTAATCAGCCTAGACTCTTGAATGCATTCATATGGAGGAGAAAAAAAAAATATTACGCAATCGTACTAAGTGCTGGAGGTTGGGTGTGGTGCTGTGGGTTAATGCACTGAACTGCGAGGTCGTTTGAACCTCAAGGTCAGCAATACAAACTCACCAGCCACTCCTCAGAAACCAACTCGACGACACTTAATAACAACAACTAAACACCTGGGCCTCAGTTGAAATATGTTGATGGAAATGTGCAGGCGTGTCTTGAAGGACTAACAGTTTAAGACAGAGGCTGAGACTCCCTTGTCTACAGAAACAAAGCCATTTGCAGAGATGAGTGAAGGAAACAGGGTATGAGTAATAGGGAGTTAAACCAGAAAGCACATGCTTCATCTAAAAAGGACACCCCTCCATAAAACACCAGCAATGGCCCAAGTTTGGTTTCTTTCTGTTTTCAAAAAGAAGCCAGAAATCTACATTTTTATATGAAATCTTCCCACTTAGAAATATTTTTTGTAATGTTTTTATTAACAAAGGATATCATGTTTGATAAAATGGAGAGTTGGCAAAAAAGAGGAAACCTCCAAAAAGATGAATTTGTCCAGCGGCAACAATGGCTCAAACCTAACAATTGTAAAGATGGCACAGGACCAGGCAGTGTTTCGTTCTGTTATGCGTTGGGTAGCTATGAGTCGGCAGTGACTAGATGGCACCTAACAATAACAACATGAATATAGAGTATGATTGTAACATAGAGTATAATGAAGTAGGCCATTGATTCCCTTACAGGGAAGAGGATGTCAGGAAAGACTTTTTTGGAGGAATGTGATCTGAGGTGCAAAGAAGAGGCAAAGGAGGAAAGAGAGGGAAGTCTCTCAATTCAGGGCTGCACTCCTAGGGGGGAATCATAAGACATGATTAGAAAGCAGGCAGCGGTGAAAAGTATGCCAGGAGAGAAGAGCTAGGGCCGGGTCATGGGATGACCTTGTATACTATGTGAGGAGTTTCATTGTGTTCCATTTGCAGAGAGGAGACACTATAGAGTTTTCTTCTCCCTCTGGGACTCTAACTGCACATATGTTAGACCGGTTGATACTTTTCCACAGCTGGAAACTCTGTAGTATCTTCTGTCTTCCTATTTTCTGTCCTTAATTTTGAATAGTATCTATTGACTTACAATTTTTTTTTCTTAAGTTTTTATTGTGAATTGAGTGATAGTTTACATGGGAAAACATCAGTTTTACACTCATCCTATTATATTTCATTTCATTGCAATGATTACAATCCCCTCCATGCATCATCATTCAACAGTATTTGCTTCTAGTCCCTGTTTTTTGTTTGGTTTTGTTTTTCAAGGTACACAAAAACACTCAGGAATGTATAACCATTTAAACAACCATAGGGCACATTCTGCAAGCCCGCCTCCTGGCCTCCAGCACACAGCCTTTCTCTTCCCATGAGTCCTCAGCTGCTCTCTCTCTCTCTCTCTCTCTCTCAATGTTTTGACTTATATTTACATTTGCTGCTTCTTCCCCAGTTGTCACTAGTCTCCTGATAATCTGATCTCTGACATCAAGTTGTTGTTTTTTTATTTCTCACATTTCCATAGTACGTGTTTTTCCCCTCTAGTTTCCATTGCTTTGCAGAAATTCCCCAATCTGCTCTACTAGATCCATATTAACATATTACCCATTGTTCATTTAAAATTCCTGCCTGGAATTTGCTGGTAATTCCAAAGCATGAATCATTGCTGAGTCTGATTCTGTTGGTTGATTTCGTTCTTGTAAATGGGATTGGTTTGATTTTTGTTGTTAATCATGAAGATTTTTTTGTATTGTTTGCTTGGGTTGTTTTGTTTTTTTTAACCTCAAATTTTTTTAGTAAATGCCAAACCTGTTATGAGTCGGGCTGCTAACCTCAAAGTCAGCAGTTTAAAACTACCAGCTGTTCCACAGGAGAAAGATGAGGTTTTCTGCTCTCATAAAGATTTACAGCCTCGGAAACCCTGTACAGGGTCGCTGAGTCGGAACCCACTCCACGGCACATAACAACCACCATACCTCATTGGCTGAGACACATAGTAATGGATTCTGGAGATGAGCACCTCTCTTGTCAGGACGCTAGCACGGAAGGGTCGCTCAATCTAGTGAGTTGGGATTTTGTTGTTGATATCTTTAATGCTGAAGTTCAGAGTTTCAGAAAGGTCAAGTAAATTATGCAAGATTCAAACCTAGGTCTGTGATACCAACACCTGTGTTTTTAGCAGACACCCTGCTGTGATTCAGGGGATAGAGAGGAGTAAGCAGTTAGAAGCTGTTAACTCTGGTAGTGCAGTGGTAACGAATCAGCAGTTCGAAACTACCAGCTGTTCCGTGGGAGAAAGATGAGGCTTTCTGCTCCCATAAAGACTTACAGCCTCAGAAACCCTGTACAGGGTCGCTATGAGTCGGAACCGACTCCACGGCACATAACAACAACAACAACAGAGGTAAAATGTACAGGAGATGACTACTGATTGGATAAGGAGAGTGTGGAATCTGCCTATTGGCATCTGCTTGGGTGGATGTGTCACAGGTGGTAAATGAAAAGAGGAGGAAATAGCAAAGCCATTCTATCACGCTGAGTTTAAAATATCTATGTGACATCTTAGTGGCGATGTCAGAAATCAATGGGCAGAGTGGAAAAGGAAGTGGCTGAAAGGAATTCAGGACTGTCCATGTTGACCCCGGGCTCCTTGTCCCACAGGTTGTGGCACTAATGGACTGTTCTTTGATTACAGGTTCACCTGGACCAAAGGGGAGCCCAGGCTTTCCAGGAATGCCAGGCCCACCTGGGCAGCCTGGTCCACGGGGCTCAATGGGACCCATGGGACCCTCTCCTGATCTGTCCCACATTAAGCAAGGCCGGAGGGGCCCTGTGGTCAGTATTTTATCAGAGATCCACTTAAGATGAGTGGCAATGTGCATGATCCCAGGATTTTTCCTTCTATTAAACCAGACCCCATTTCTCTTGTAGGGTCCACCAGGTGCACCAGGAAGACATGGTTCCAAGGTAGGTCTGTCTACCTCATGGTCTTTACGGATCTTAGAGCTCTTCATTTCCACCTACTGTGCAGGCACCGAGTAAAGATTGGAAGCTGTTTCCTGTCCACAATTTGCATGTGGCAAAACTGAGGCTGGGAAGAAAATCTAAAAAGCATTTTCTTAAAATATAAAACTAACTAGGGGAAATGAGATGGGCTTTCTACCTCTCTTAGACTCGATAGTGGTGGGTTTGGTTTGGATTTTGTTGTTACTGGATTTGTTTTGATTTGCTTTGTGGTTTTTGAGTTAGACTGGATTTAAATTAATAAAGTATATTCTTACTCAAAAACAAATATATTTATATACACATATAATTTTTTTTTAATCCCAGTTTAATTTACTCCAGTATTTTTTTAAATAAATTTGTGTGTTACAATTGTTCCTGTTCTTGTTGTGTGCCATTGAGTCAGTTCCCACTCATAGCAACCCTGTATAAGGTTTCCGAGGAGCGGCTGGTGGATTTGAACCATCAACCTTGCGTTTAACAGTCCAGTGCTGATCCTACCATGGGACACCAGGACTCCTATGTTATGATGCTGCTGCCGTGTGCCATCACGTCGGTTCCGACTCATAGAGACCGTGTACAGGGTTTCCGAGGCTATAAGTCTTTATAGGATCAGAAAGCCTCATCTTTCTCCTGTGGAACCGCTGATATGTGAACTGCTGACGTGGTGGTTAACAGCCCAGTGTGTAACCCACTACACTACCAGAGCTCCTTTGTGTTATAATGTTGTTGGTGGTGGTGGTGGTAAGTGCCATAAAGTCAGTTCCAACTAATAGTGACCCTGTATAAGTTTTCTAAGGAGCAACTGGTGGGTTTGAACTGCCAGTCTTGTGGTTAGTAGTCCAGTGCTTATCCTACAGCATCTAACCATTTTTAAAAAAATCATTTGCCATCAAGTTAGTTCTGACTCACGGCAACCCCACGTGTGTCAGAGTAGAACTGAAGTCCATTGGATTTTCCATGGCTAATGTTTTTGGAAGTGATCTTATTTTTCAGGCCTTATTTCCAAATTGCCACTGGGTGGAATCAAACCACCAACCTTTCAGTTAACAGCTGATCTCTTCATAATTTGCACCATTCAAGGTTTTTTACCTCTATGGCCAATGTTCTCCTATAAGGCTTTCTCTGTTTGATTGAGGGTTTTGATTGAGGGTTTTGTGTGTGTGTGTGTTTGTTTGTTTTTTTCCCCCCTTGTTCTCCATTTCTTTGATAATGTTTAAATCAAGAAGAGAGACATTCCTTCTGTGGAAATGAGCGCAGCCTGAGTCTCTGTAGAAAGGTTCTAAATTATTCCACACGCTGCCTGGAAATGCATGCATTCCTCTTGTCAAATCTGGTTTGAAAATATATGGCCTCAGGGGACATCGGATAGAGAGACACTTGACCCAAGCAGTTCTGTTGAAATAAGTGGTCCCATGAATCCTGCTTCAGCCTTACATTTGTTTCCAATAGAATGTCTTTGTTGTTTTGTCACGAGGTGGTGCTCGTGGGTATCAAATAGGGACTGTGGTAGCCGTCCACATGGTCCCCACAGCTAACCCTGGCCTTTCTGTTTCTAGGGGGAGAGAGGCGCACCTGGGCCCCGAGGGTCTCCAGTAAGTAGCACTATCTGATCTGCCCTACTTTCCCAGTGGGAGTGTTCTCGACATTGGATGCCAAAGAGCCTTAAGGAGGTCTGATTAGCAAATGCTGCCCCTCCCAGCTGTTGTTCAACTGCCTGAGCAGAACCCTGTGGTTAGGAAAAAGAGCCTCTAAGCCTGAAGCAGCTGGTTTGGATTTATTTTTCAATTTGTTTCCGATTGTTAGTCTTTCTTTTATCGTGGCTAATCTTTGTTTGAAATGCCTTCTTTTCACATCCCAATGTGTAAGGAGTCGGTTTCCAGGTTTGTCATAAAACATTAGAAAGGGCCATGAAAAAAAAAAAAAAAAAATTCAGCATGTTTAAGAATAGCCACAACTATTTATCTATTTATGACCCTGTTGTTGTTGTTGTTAAGTGCCGTCGAGTCGGTTCCGACCCATAGCGACCCTGTACAGGGTTTCCGAGGGTGTAAATCCTTACGGGAGTAGAAAGCCTCATCTTTCTCCCGCGGAGTGGCTGGTAGTTTCGAACCGCTGACCTTAAGGTTCGCAGCCCGATTTGTAACCACTACGCTACCAGAGCCTAGCTCCCCTCAAAAACAAAACAAAGCAAAAAAGATATATGGGATTATTTGGGACTACTGAGAAGAAATTCACTAGTTTATGTACATATAGTTTATTATTACTGTTGTAGTTGAGTGCCGTTGAGTCGGTTCCAGACCAGAGTGACTCTATATGGTTTCCAAGGCTGTAAACTTTTGGGGAGGAGAAAGCCTCATCTTTCTCCAGTGGAGTGGCTTGTGGGTTCAAACCCTGGTCCAGTATTTATCCTACAGAGCCATTATGTCTCCCGTAAGTATTGCCTGTTGTTAGAAAGTGCCGCTGAGTCAGTTCCGACTCATATTGATCTTGTATAGGGTTTACCAGGAACAGGTGGTGGTTAGCAGTCCAGTGCTTATCCTACAGTGCCACACCAGGACATTTCAAATGAAAATCTGTGGTCTCTAAAGCACAGAGAATTGAAGTAACCCCTCTGCTTTTGAAGAACTTGGTGTCATTTCTGAGGAAGAGAGTTGTAGCCCTCAAGGGAGAAGGTCTGGGCCTGGCTCCACTCTCACATGTTAACTGTCAGCTCATAACCATGCCGCTGAGCATCTCTGGGCCTCCCTGTCCTCACCTGCACAGCACCAGTAATGGGATCTGATCCAGCACATCTCAGGTGGTGATTGTGAGGGCCAGATGACATCACCACACTCTACAGCTCTGCGAGCTGTACAGATGGGAGCGGCTGTGTCTAAGATTTTATCATGTTGATGTTGTTAAGTGCCATCTAGTCGATTCTGACTCATAGTGACCCTGTATAGGGTTTCCAAGGAGCAGCTGGTGAGTTTGAACTGCTGACCATGTGATTCACACCTACCTTGCGGTCCAGTGCATTATCCTGCAAGATTGTACCATGGCTAAACTTTACTTGGACTCCCGGTGTGGAACTACAAGATAACATGCTGGACTACAAGGTCAGTTTGAACCACAATGTTGGTGGTTCAAACCCACCAGCTGCTCCTCAGAAACAAATACAGGGTCTCTATGAGTCAGAACCGACTCAGTGGCACTTAACAACAGTCTTTATTTGGACTCCTGGTGTGGTGCTATAGAACCAGCACTGGACTGACAATCACAGGTCAGTAGTTCAAACCCTTGGAAGACCTATACAGGGTCACTATGGGTCGGAGCAAATTTGACTTCACTTAACAACAACCACAATCTTTATTTGGGATATAGTCTTTTAAAATCCCACTACATCATGAGTCATTTCCGTCTATGTCATAAAACATCTGGAATATTGGGATGTGACAAAAACAAGAGTTTCTGGTCAACTTCTCCATGACGCAGAACATACATGTTTCAACATTTTTCTTATCATGCCCTACACGGCACTATATCAAAATACACACGAAATACTGTACAGTGATAAATTCTGGTGCAGTGCCATCAGCTAAGCATTGGACTGCTAACTAGAAGGTCGGAGGTTCAGCCACACAAGTCACTCCTCAGAAACCCTATACAGGGTCACTATCAGTCAGAATTGACTAGATGGCACTTCACAATTTGGAATGTCTCTTTTAAAATTCCACTGTGTGGTTTCACAGTGGTTCAAAGTCCAGTGCTTATCTTACAGCACCACACCTGGAGCCCTGTGAAATCCTATGAATTTGGGACTGTTATTGTCCCCATAGTACATATGGAGCAACAGAAGCCCAAAGAGATTAAGTAACTTTCCCAAAATTACACAGCTAGTAGGTGGCAGAACTGAAATTTAGACACAAAAAAACTCTAAGCTCTTAGCCACTATTTTATTGCCTCATAATTACCTTTGTTTTCTTGGTAATTATTCTTGGAGGGTTACCCTCATGTTCTTTCATCCAACCAGATTTGATATAGCCTAGGACTAAGAGAGATGGGAGGTGAATCTGCCACCACTGCTGACAGGTGAGATGGGGGAATTAGAAGGTGAACTTCAAAACCCTCCAGGCTAATCTAGCAATCCTTATGTTGACTCAGTTTGAGCCACCAAGTTAACTACTGAGCCACCAAGAAAGTGTAGCAAAACATGGGCTGATGCAAGAAGTTGAGTCTGATACGTTCTGGCTCTTATTCCTCCCATGTACACAGGGACCTCCTGGTTCTTTCGACTTCCTGCTGCTGATACTGGCTGAGATCCGCAATGACATCACCGAGTTGCAAGAAAAGGTGTTCGGGCACCAAACTCAGTCTTCAACAGAGGAGGTCCCTTTACATCAGCAATTTTCCAGCTACCCAGAAACCATGGATTTCAGCTCTGGAGATGACTACCCAAAGAGAACTGAGACAAGAGCCTTAGGAACCCCTAGAGACTTTTATCCTTAACACAACCCAGCATCTTCATGCCCAAGGAAGAGCAAGAAGCATGTTTTCACCTGCAGTTATATCATCTACAGAAACACACTGGGAATGTGGAGAAGATACATTTTTATTTCCTTTACCCTTTTTTCTAGCTTCTCCCTACTTCTCTTCTTCCAAATTCTTTTTTCAGCACTCCCTACTTGAAGTAAGAGGGTGCAAATGAGTGATTTTTATGCTTCCTACTGAGGGCCAGTGGAGGTGATCTACATAGAAAGTTTTCTCATGTTTCCTATTTTTTTCAAGAACTTCTGGAGTTCTGAGTTAAGTGTTCTCATATTGCCATAGAACTTGGAAGAAGAGCCAAAAAGGAAAATGTGAGACCTCTTATTTAAAAAAAAAAATAATAATAATAAGTGTATGTCCAAAATAGACTACTAGTCTTCTAGGATCAAAATAAGGAGCTCTGGTAGCGTAATGGTTACGAGTTGGCCTGTGAATCTCACGGTCAACAGTTCGAAACTACCAACTGTTCCGTTGGAGACAGATGAGGCCTTCTGCTCCCATAAAGATTTAGAGCCTTGGAAACCCTATACAAGATCGCTATGAGTCAGAACAGACTCCTTGGCACATAACCACCAACCACCACCAGGATCAAAATTGGGACTAGCAATGAAAACTTGGGTGAGGGACTGCCATGTATAGTCAGTCACCTTGGTGAATAGCTGGTTTCTTCTTTGTCAATCTAATAGATTTTAACTATTCCGTCCTCTAATCCAATCTTGTTTCCCAAATTTGGTGAAGGAAAAGAGTAGAGATGAAAGAAGATGGAGAAAGATATTAGTTGTATATTTGTTGTCATGTAGGTTGCCATATTTTAAAATGCACTATGACTACCAAGCACCCATGCCAATCTTCTCTGTAAGTATTCTGTTCAGAGAAGAATGTTACTCGAGCTGTAGGAATAAATATTTTCGAAACACAGTGAACAAAATGCCCTGACTCACATTAGGACAATGGGTTCCTGATTTGCTAAGACATTTCAAAGCTCTTTACTCAACTGAGTTGGCCTGCTCAATTAATCACAGGTTCTTCAATAAATAGAGGTGGCTTAGAGTCCCCTGTTTCTGGTCAGGTGCCCAGAAGGTGCCATCATGCCATGATGTTGACTGCTGGGCACAAGACTGAAGCTTGCTGGCTTGGGTTAGTGGGGTGGGATTGGGAGCACCTTTCCATCTGTTGAAGCTAAATCCAAAAAGACAGGTAAATTTCCTCTCCTTTGGTGCAAGAGGTCTTTCTCTGGGGCCAGCCAAGCTTGCCAGTGTTATTAATACTCTCTCTTGGGTTGGGAAAAAAACAAAGTTTGGCATTCTCATTTTCCCCTAATGTTTCTTAACTCAATCCAAATCTCAACTTTTTTAGGTCTTCTCTTTAATTTCCCTTCCTCAGCAAATGTGGAAGGCATTTGAGCAAGGGGTTTTCTTCCAAACCTCCCAGTGAGTGTGTTTTTTCAGGGCAAAGGGCCCTGGAGGGCGTGGCTGTCTCAGGATTCACAGGCATCAAAGGCCAGAGCACTGGAGGGGCTGGTTCCTTTATGACATTATTAGGGGTGGGTGCCTCTTGGATTTCAGGGGCAGCTTACAGATCTCCTCAGTCTTTCTTTCTCTTTTGACTCACAATGAGCTCCTATCCACCTGTTCAAAAGGCTTTCTACCTTATTTTGAGTCTCCCAAATGATCCTTGGAGTCCCTGGGTGGCTCAGTTATGCGCTTGACTAGAGTTTGGTTCAGTTCTACCCAGAAACGCTTTGAAAAAAGACCTGGAAATCTACTTCTGAAATAGCACAGCTATTGAAAACTCTGGGAGCACAATTTCATCCTAACACACACGGGGTCAGCATGTGTTGGAATCAACTCTGCAGCAACTAGTTTGGTGTGAGTTTTACTGTTAATGGTCATCCGCATAGCTCATGTTTGTTCATATTGGGGTCTCTCTAACATGAGACCCTCCTAATTTTTTTTTTTTTTGAGAAATTTTTCTTTGGTTCTAATTATCAATCTGTTTTTAACATACATATACCATTTAACTCTCCGATCAGGAAAGCTTGTTTGAAGAGAACCACTAATTTTGCATTTGTAGGCTATGTTCTCATCTTCTTCCCAAAGAACCTTAGGAAGGAGGGCCTCTCTTTACAAATTTCAAATGGCACCAACAGTCCTTTCCTGTTGTCATCTCACTAGACTATGGGACTCCAGCTCTCAACTGGTGCTTGAGTTTTTCACGAACACTTTACTGTTTCTTATGCAAAGTCCCCGGTGACTGGCTACCAAAAAGTTTAAAGGTGAGAAGAAACACATTCCCCAGTGTTCCTTTTCCAGCATCCTTCCTGCCCCTTCTGTCTCCTCAGAATCCAACCTTCAGAGCCCAGGGCATCGCCTGCTACGGAATTCTGAAGAGATGAACTGAGCAGCTGTTGGTTCCCATATGGAATATATTTGACATTTTGCTTGCTTGTGGAACACAGAATTTAAAGAGTGTGGATGGATGGATACCGAAGAAGGTTATGCACAGGCACTATGAGAAATGGTTAGGCCCATGTTTGGCTTTTTTTTTTTAATGAGGAATTTTATTACCTTTCCTTTTTAATAGTAAACTGTGTTTAGAAATATAATCTTTTTTATTGTCAGAGGCTCATAAAATACAGCCAAACTACATATTTGGCCATAGGCTAGGATAATATATTAAAAGAATGAACTGAAAGTAGATATATCTACAATTCATAAGACTGTTCTAGATAATCTCCTCCGGGAAAATACCCAATAGTCTGTATTTTATAATCTCAATCTGCTGGATCAAGTCAACTTGTAAAATAATGATTAATCCTCAGAGTTTCAAAACCTGGACTACCACTGTCATTGAATTAAATATGTACTCCTTGCATCCAGATGATGTTTCTCAGAGGTAAGATGTCACAAGGCGTTCCTGATGTGTCTTTCAGTTATGGACTGAAAATCAAAGCTTCATTGTTTAAAACACAACTTCTGCTCAAAATTTAATGAAAGTCCACTTTGTTTCATGAGAAGTTAAGCGATTTTTTTTTTTTTTTGCTTCTTCTCAATCTTTTAGTAGAAATATTAACTTCCTTTTTTTTTTTCCTTTTTTGTACTCTCATAACCAAGACTTAGAAGAGGAAGGATTTAATGGGTTGCGTCTGGCTGTGGGAAGCCATATGAGTCAGCATCTACTGTTGAAAATGGTTCAAGGGAAGCATACATTTTAGCTGAAGAAAACCACCCTCCCATCCAAACTCCACAGGGAGAAATGAAGAAATGATCAACTTTACTATGCCCAAGGGACGGGGAGGCATGCAAGGAGACTCTGTCTCCTCTCTCCTTCTTCATCAGTTTTCAACTCCTGACCAGCTGAGGTCATTACTACTGTCCAATATCATATATATGTATATCCATTGCCTGGTAGGTGCCTAGCAAATGCACCTTGGCTGGAGTAGGAGAAGTACCAATTACCTCATCAAATGCCAGGTGAAGGCCAACTGGTTCTGCCCAGCCGACCTTGCCAGGGTTCCTAGTGAGGCTGCCACTGGGATTCTTGTTCCCAGGTTTTCAGAAAAACAGATTCTCCATAACTAGAAGCCAACCATCTCCTTGGGTTGACAGCAGCTTTTCCATCTTTGTCCCCCAGGCTCTCTCCCCATATCTCAGCCTGTCACACAGACACAGCCCCGGTCACCTCATTGTGCAAACTTAGACTGTTCAGACAACGCCCCCGAAAGGAGAAGTCTCTGCAGGAATCTGGACTGAACAACACGTTGAATCGAGCCATCTAACGTTGTTAGTAATGAATTCAGGGACGTCGATGGAATTTCTCCTGGCACAGTCAGCCTGCATGTTTCACAAGTCAAAACAATAACTTTCCACTTGGGGGGAAAAAATGACCCTGATTGTTAAAGCAGAAAATCTTGAACTTGACATGCTCCTTCAACAAACATTATTGCTTTAGGAAAACCGTAGAAAATTACCCCTTTGCAAAGATCAGCTCGGCCCTCTTCCCAAGGATCACAGCATTCTTTGAGATTCTCAAAGCAAGTACCCTGAGAAGTTTCATGTGTGTCTTTAGGTTGTGTTTTGTTTTTTTGTTTCCAGTGACCAGTCATACTTCAGTAGCTCTCTTGCTCATTATTTATAACGGGTCCACATAACAGCTGAACTGTATTCAAACTGTTCTATGAAGAACATTTGATATGGTTGTATATGCTTAATAACAAAATTATTTTTCTTATGTGGTTGTGCTGGGGTTTTTTTGTTGTTGTTGTTGCTTTTGTCATGAAACCAAGTCCTGGGGAAGGAGTCATCATATTACCAGATGATTAACATAAGGAGATGGTGGGGGGGTATATTTCTCATAAGAGCTGGAACCTACATTCTGGGTCTCCCATCTCCTGGGGTCCGGGTGTGACTCTTTTCAACTCCTAGTCGGTGCTAGATACCACTTAGAGACCCAATTCCCCAGTTAACTGAGACACCCCGCCCCACCCTTCCACACACACACACCATGTAGGATTTTAAAACAGGAACTCTTGAGGGTTCATTGGAGGATCTTACATTTCCACAAGGGGGAAGCCTGCCCCCATTTCTACAGCAACCAGGGAAATGCTGGATTCGTTTGGTTTGGTTTTGAATTCGAATTTCACGTAAGCCCTCCTTTAGAGGAAAAATATGTATATTTGAAGAAAAAGTTTAAAATAAAGTTGACAAGGGGTAAGTCTCATGAGTGGGCAGCTAAATTCCTCTGTGAAGACATGGGCCTGGAATGTCCACCAGCAAACAGCCAGGGAGAGGGAGTTGTGTAATACATAGGGAGCAGGTTACTTCTAAGGGATTCTAGCAGCCTATAGCAGGAGATCTATATCACGCTGGACATACCCCGTATGGGTATAGCTCACTTTGATTTCTTTAGTAAATATTTTAAGTGTCTGTTGGGAACCGAGTACTGTGCAGAGAGACTTGGGG